ATAATAATAATAATAATAATAATAATAATAATAATAATAATAATAATAGTAATAATAATAAAAATTAAGTTAACACCGGGCCAAGCACGGAACTAGGCCCTCATATTTGGGTGGGCCACGATAGATCCAAAGTTTTTTATTGATTTTTTTAGCAATAAAAAATCGCAAACCTGGCTTAAGATAAAGTAATTTACAGTGCTTACATATAAGAAAGCAATTTGTAGGTTTTATTATAGTTTTCAGTATTATTCATATTTTTTTAAAACTTTGCAGTGTCAGTGCTACCCGCATGTCGGTTAACATTGACTTTGGCTAAATTTTGTTAAAAGTGAATGTCTGCTAGGTGTAGTGCATCATTGACACGAAAAATAATGTTATACACAATTTTTGTTTTTTAATTCTTTTAATTTTTATATAATATTTGAAAAGAACCTTACAATATTAAAAACTAAATCATATTAAGTACTTAATATTAAGGCTTTCTGCTGAATTAATAGAAAATTAGAAAAATTGGCCGGGTATTTTAAAGATACGTCAATGTTACCCGCCTTTACCTTGCTTGTTCACAACCTAGAAAATTTAGATATTTACATCCACAGTGACATCTACAAGAACCGTAAGAACTTTATTCGATCAATAGATGAAGGCTGCAGCTCTTCGTGTTGTAGTTGTACGCCAGTAACAGTAGATGACAGCACAAAGCTTTATTTGGGATTTAATTTTTAAAGAGTTTTATAATTTTGGGTACTCACTAAGCGTATATTTTTCTATTTTTTGCTACTGTGCATTTAATTTGTTCCAATTTTTAAAGCTCCTTTTTTAAACAAGTTTATCACAAAAATAAATTTCTCATTGATACATATTTTACATAAATAATCCACAAGTAGGTACCTAATGCTATTATTCCTCTATCATAAATCATAAAAATCTGTTATTTTTGCAAGAGAGCAAAATTGCGGAATAAAGATTTTTGTCTATTCTGGGGTTTAAAAGTGTCAAAAAAATATACGACTGGATTAGGTTTTATCATCTTGTATTAAATTCATACTTTTATTATCATTGAAAATCGGATTGACGGAGAGATATAAAAGAAAAGAACTGTATAAACAATGTAGTGCAAAAATTACATCATGAAAGTGTCATTGTGTCTGCTTGTTGCCCTGTTTGTGGGGACTTTTGGGTCTGATTCTGACCCCGAAGTTCGCGCAACGCCAAATGATGTTACTTATTATTTTTACACCAAACACAATGTAGATGCAGGCCACAGTTTCCAAAGTCTTGGTTCAAGTCTTCCTCATTTCGAAGCGAAAAAGAGAACTTTTATTTTGATCCACGGCTGGATGGATGGCTACAACGCCGATGTCAACAAGTTTGTCAAATCTGCTCTTTTGGAAATCCACGATGTGAATATTTTTGTCGTGGACTGGAGCCCTATTGCCAAAAATCTTTACTCAACAGCTCGAAAGTCTGTTACAAATATTGGGCAATTTGTCGGTAATTTCGTCAATGATTTGATCGACACTTATGGTATTAGTAGTTCCGAAATTGTTTTAATTGGGCATAGTCTTGGTGCCCACATTGCCGGAAATGCTGGAAGTGTGATTAAAAGTCCAGTGGGGCAAATTATTGGGTTGGATCCAGCAGGTCCTGGATTTTCCTTAAATGAGACGGGAGATCGTCTTGATTCCAGTGATGGGCAATACGTCCAAGTTATTCACACCCATGGGCGTCTTCTGGGATTTAGTTTTTCCAGCGGACATGTTGATTATTACCCTAATGGTGGAAATGTTCAAGCTGGATGCGGGCTTGATCTTGCTGGTGTTTGTTCGCATGCTAGATCTTTCCAATATCTTGCTGAAGCGATAACAGGGGGAAAATTTTTAGCCACGAAATGCGATAACTATTCAGACTATCAAAACGGTAAATGTGCAAACAACCAAAAGGCATTTATGGGATCTCTTGTAGTCGATCAAAGGTAATGAATTGAAAGTTTCATCAAATAGACAATATTTTTGTTGTAGCGTTGTTGGAGATTATTTCTTGGATACAAACAAAGCAAAGCCATTCGCCCAAGGGTAGAAGACTTGACTGGTACCTTTCATACTGTAGTTTATAGACCCAAAAATAAAAAAAACTTGTTTCCAAAACGCGTAAACTTATTTTAGACTTGGCAAAAATGTAGACACATTTTTCTTGTTTATATTTGAATACAAATAATGTAAACTTGCAACAAAAATTATATGATGACATTAAGTCATTTTATCGAGCGAGAGAGAGAGAAAGAGAGAACCTCTTAAAATAAAGTTAAACAAAAGAAATTTGATACAGTAATTAAGCGTTTTGTATTTCATTCAACAATTTACTTTTCACTTCCTCTAACGTAATACTACCTTCTATTTTTAAAACTTTATTTCTTGATTTAAAGCCCTAGAAACAAACTGATGAAAGCAATTTTTTAAATTGTAATGTTACTACCTTGTTTAACGTAACATCACTTTTTCTCAACCCTAATACAGATGCAATGTACTTTACTAATTCAGTGTTTGCCTCACCCTCACTTGGGGGTGCATTAATTTGGACTCCAACGCCGTCAGAATTAATACCTTCAAAAATGAAAAATATATAATGAATAAAAACGAAGTGCAATAGTGCAAATCTTACTAGTTATGGCATTTTGTTTCGCCCCTGGTTTGGCTAGTATTGAAATAAGTATATTTTTTGATTTATCTGACGTAATGGGGCCTTCTTCTTGCTAAAATTCCTAATTTTAGGTCTTTAATTAAGAAATAAAGGATATAGGTACTTTTGTTATTACTTCTGTCTCTTTCTGAGTATTTTTGCTTTTGGCTTTTTTTGACATTTCTTTAACAAAATTTCGTCTAAGTGATAAACTTTTATTGAAAAATCGACAAATCATAACACTTTTCAGGTGTATGACAACGGTAAAGTGAGGTTAAGAGAAGTAGAAGGTTAGGTTAATGTCAGTGATAAGTGACGGTTCTTTTTGGAGGTTACAAGTTTATTTACAACAAAGTTTTATTTTATAGTAGATGAGAAAAAATGCCAAAAAAATTTGCCACAGAAAATACAAAAGCTGTTGCAGCCCGCGAGCGTAAAAAAGCAGCAAAAGATGCCGAAGTGGCGAAAAAACAACAACAATTAGAAGAAGCCTATTGGAAAGATGATGACAAATTAATAAAAAAGAAGCAACAGAGAAAGGTATTATGATAATCTACATTTTTTCAGTTCTCATGGAGCTAATTTAGGAAGAACAAGACCGGAAACGAGAACAACAATTAGCCAAAAAACAGGAAGCTAAGCAGCTCCTGGAACAGGAAATGAGTTCTATCAAAAAAACTGGGAAGCCTGCACCACCACCAAAGGTGACACGATCCCAAATCTCGGATACTTTAGCGAAAAAAGAAACGGAAAAGAAGGAAAAAATTGTTACACATCTGGATGAACCGTTAGAGGAAAATATCAACAGGCTGAAGATTGAAGGAGATGAGGCTAGGACTGTAGACGAGGCTATTGGTATATTGAGGTAACAAAAAATCTTCTCTACCATGTTTTATATGATACTTTTTCACTACTAGCACATTTATTATTTAGTACATATTTATTATTTCAACATTAAAAAGGCCCATTTGTTGTTTTGTTAGTTATGACAAAGACAGAAGATTAGAGGTGGGAGGTTTAACTTTTTTTTATTTGTTTTTGCATTAATTTCATTTCAAAATACTTCGCTAGTACTTGTGATGATAATAATTTTATATACACTAGGAGAGTAAAACTAAATAATGGTACTTTTTACTAGTAGTGAAAAAAGTTTAGTTTACTATTCTGATCTACATTTTTCTAACAAAGTTTGACATCTAATTTCAAAATAATTATTTTGAAGCTCGAAACCTGAAGATATCGATAAACACCCTGAACGTCGGATGAAGTCTTTATATACCGCGTATGAAACCAGACGCCTAGAAGAATTGAAGGCTGAAAATTCCACGCTTCGTTTGTCTCAATTGAAGCAAATGATATTCAAAGAATGGCAAAAATCGCCAGAGAATCCACTAAATAAACAATAATGTAGCAACAAAGTGATTACTATCGTGAAAAAGCCGAAATAATTTCTTACGCACTAACCTACTTATAATTGACGCTTACTTTATTGTTTTACCGGTTTTATTAGACAAATTGTTATTAAGTCACTGTATTTTGTTGGTACCGTTAATAGATAATTTATGACTCAAATATTTCATTTCATTGCATAACCTTATAAATTATGTTGTATTTCGTGTGGGTAAGGCTGGAGGAGGGACGTCAGGTATGTCTGGATTTCGTTTCAAATTCGCAATTTCGTGCTTAGGATCGTTGTTATTTTGGTAAATTTCTTCAGGTAATGTTTTTGGCTTGGCATCAGGCTGCGTCTCGGCAACCGGCGTGTAGTAACCTTGGTTATTCAAAACATGAGGTGCGTAAGCATATGGTATAAACCGTTCCACCGGTAATGGTTGTAGCGCTCTTTGAAATTCTTCATTTTCTGGTTTACCTACTTTCTGAGGTGTTGCAACCTTAAAATAACCTACTCGTAGTTATCCTTTTTCAAAGTCAACTTACTTACGAAGTTTGGCTCAAATGTTGCTATCGGCGATTGATAAAAATATGGTGGTAGTGCTATTCCGAGGGATGTTGTTCTTAATACCGGCTCGTAGACAGGTAGAGCATGACTAGGGGATAAATTTTTCTTTGTGCTTATCAAAACGTTGTATATCTTTGGAGTTCTCGGATCAGCACTTACCAGAAATAACAGTGCTGACAGTGAAAACAATCTGTACATAGTATCTGCAAAAAGACATTGAAATTAAAGGTCACTGCCTTCATCCTATCAAGCAGATCTCCGAATTTTTTTCTCAGTAAACCTGTTTGAGTAATGATGCAGTGAAACAAATTTCTAGTTACGGTTGACTTAATTCTCTTAGGTCTTCAGTAATGTGTTTTTGACACGGCTGAAAGCCTCATAAATGTCACCGCCAATTCAATGATTTTTGCAGGAACTGATGAGTAATAACGCTAAATTTTTGCCAAATTTTCAAACCTCATATCCTAATTATAAATGTAAATCGGAGATTATAATTGATCCAGTTTTTTAGACTACGTGTTAATTACACTAATGATTAATTGTTGATTTTCACTGGTCACTGAATGAAGTCCATTGATTTATGAAAGTCTCGCCGGTGAATAGAATAAATATATTAGTATTGCTTGAAAATTAAATGAAACACTAGCACATGTTATTGTTTACCTTGTATAAATTGTTTCACGTCACAACTGCAAATAATTGCCTTGATAGAACAGAGAGGTCTTATATAGTTCTTGAGGTTGTTCTTTGTGCCGCTCGACTATTCGTGTTCACTTGTGAAGTACATTTTTCAGATAAATCCCTTCACTGCGAGCCTTGCATACAACCAAGGTATTTGCAATTAATTTATTGTTGTTGTGATCATTTCGAGTAAATAATTTTCCCACGGATGAAAAATTTTTTTTCGATGGATCTGATGAAATATTCTTCAACTTGAAGGAGTGTCGGAAATCATCCGAGCCAGGTGTACATTGTTTCAGTACTCGCCCAGCCTCTTACCAATTTAAGTACGAACTTGAAGATAAGGTGACAAGAAAAACTAGTTTAATTAGTAGGAATTTATTTCGAATTTCGAAAAAATTATACAGCATTTTCGGTTTTGTTTTTCAATTCGTAACCGAAAATTTGTACAAAGAAATGAAATCCTTTCCCATATTCGGTTTCCACATTGAATTCGATGTAATTATGTCCAACTCCGCCTCCCGCGTACGATGGGTACCCTCCCTCTCCATTGGGCACTTCGTCGTAGATATTGGCGCAAGTGATATAAACGTCACCTTCCACATTGATCTAAAAAACGACACGTGCTCTTAATCCGATGTATCATGACTTATTAACATTAAATAAGGTCACCCAAAACACAATTAGTTCCTATCGCACCCACAAATCGAATCGGAAATCGTAACCTTGTCACTATTTCCAAACCCGACTAAAAATCAACCTACTCTTATTCTGGCACCAACGTGACTTTTTCCGTCATTATACAGTATGATATTCTCCTGGTGGAGGACATTATCGGTGGGTTTACACCGTCCAATGAGCAGATTGTGCGGCTTTTTTAATACTTGGTGAACGACTGGAAATATTTTAATAAAAAAGACAATTTAAGGGTTGTTTTATTACTCACTCGAACCCCGAGCAACTTTTTGAGTTTTTATTGTCGTGTAAGCTGATGGTGCAGAAACAGGATCCACTGCTGGTGCACACTTGATAAAAGAAATAAACGCCAAAAAAACGGTCACTCGGATATACATTCTCAGAGGATCTTATTAGGATTGGATTTGGTGAAGAATCTTAATCGGGTGGAAGAAAGGGTTATCGAGTGACCTCAAGATATGCGGCTTTTGTTTCGATATACAAAAATTGTGTCAAACATTTTTGTTTTCAACTAAATATTATAAGTATTAATTTTCATTCATTTATACATAGTTATAAGGTAAAAAAACGAAAAAATAGGAAATAATAAGAACGAAAAAATTAAACCAATAAACATAATAAACGATGAAACGAAAAATAACGATTCTGTGAAAAATAATGGCTATAGTAATAAAGTGGTGAGTAAATAGTAATGACCTGCCAAGTAAATGCTAAGTAGGAATCCTTAATATTAAATAAGATTTGCTAATTGTAAAAAAGTAGAACCAATATTTATTTTTTAAGGCATTTTCTGGGTCAATCCAGCAAAAAACCTTTATTATAACCGATTTTTTATCTACTTCTTCTTCTTCTTTTTCTTCTTAATTTCTCCACTGGGAGTGTCCTATACCCTCCAGGGGTATGTCCGGCCAATTTTTACCTACTTAAATTACTAAACAATTGTAATCATTGTATTGCTCTGTTTTTTAATTTATTAATAAGCATCTATTATTTAAATCTACTTCTATTGAACATTTACTGTTCTAAAAAAATATGACGTTTAAGTCCAGTATCCTGCATTTAATTTGCCTATTTTTTTTATTTTGTTTTGTAACCGCTTTTTGTAATAATAATAAACCGTTATTATTTTCATTTAGCGCTTAGTATTTTGACTTAGTGTTTAGTATTTTTATTAGCGTTTAGTATTTTTATTCAGCGTTTATTACTTTTACTTAGCAAATGTACTTAGTATTTAGTTTAATAATTTAGGGTTTAAATTTTTCCCGAAAATAATTTGAAACAGGATGGGTTGATACGTGGCGCCGCCATCTACGATGAAATAAACTTAAAAGATCAAGTAACCTGCGCGTGAAACCGTTATTTCAGCAACGGCGGCTAGATGGTGCTATTTATTGTTATAAAACCTTTAAAAATTTTTCAAAATTACAGTTTTAAATTTCCATTTCCATCAATTGTCTTCACTTCTGTCATTTTTTAAATTATTTTAACAATAAAGTTTCCAGCTTAATTGATTTATTTTGTAGATAAATAGAGTATTGTTGGTTTTTCCAACAATTCTAAAAATATTCTACCAAAATTTTAGTAATTTCAATAATCGTAAATCCATTGCTTTCATATTAATTCATGTATTAAGTCATGTATCGAATCGCGAAAAGGAGATAAATTTGATGCAGAGAACTATCGTCCTGTTAGTTTAACTAGTATAGTTGTTAAAATAATGGAATCCATCGTTTATGGTGAAATGGTTAGAACAGCGGTTTAATATCTGGGAAATCAACCTCTACTAATCTTTTATGCAGTTTTAACGACTGGACTAAGGACCTGGATGCGGGAAACTGTGTGGATGTTGTCTATCTCGACTTTTCAAAGGCATTTGATAGGGTACCAAAGAAACGTCTGTTGTATAAATTGCAACATTATGGTATAAATCGTCAACTTTTTTTTATGGATAAACGCCCTTTTGTCTGATCGGACCTTTAAAGTTAAGGTTGGCAACACGCTTAGTGGTTCTTTCCAGGTTTTGAGTGGTGTTCCTCAAGGTTCCGTGGTAGGGCCTCTACTATTTGGTCTGTGCACGCTGCCAATGTTATCAGAAAGACAAAAAAATGTTTACCTCATTGGTAGAATGTTTTCTGGTTCAAGACCTGTTGTAGTTGCCAAACTTTATAAAACGTATGTGAGGCCTATTCTGGACTACGCAAACAGTGCATGGACTCCCATGATCCAAAGAGATATAGATTCCTTGGAAGCTGTGCAACGTCGCGCTACGAGAATTCCCTTTGGTCGTCTTATGAGAGAAGGCTTCAAATTATGAAGTTACCCACGTTATTGGCAAGACGTAGGTGATTTGATAACAGCCTTCTCTTCTATAAAAAATGTCTATTCGCCAATAAGACACCTCTTCCCTTCGCATCCCGACAGACGTACCAGAGGGCACTCTTTTAAGCTATCCAAGGATAATTTCCGTACAAGCGCAAGGCAATTTTTCATAACTAATAGAGTCTTTGATATTTGGGATGCTTTACCAGCAGAAGTTGTTTTGTGTGGCAATATCACTCAGTTTAAAGTCAAATACGATTCCCTTGATAGCAATAAGTAATTGAAATAGGGAATGCAAAAGTTTCACATATCGGCACCTTATCATTGTTAGCGCGGGCATAACAGGCTACGGTCTCTGTCCGATCGCAACATGCTAATAATAATAATGATAATTACTTTAATTCCTACTTAATTCCTACTTAATTCCGTAATTACAACTTAGTTTTTGTAATTCTCTAATTTTCCTGATGTGATTCCAAATTAATTCCGATAGTTCTAAGAAATTTAACGTGATTTTCAAAAAAAAATCCCCGGTGATTCCAAGAAATTCCAGTAATTCACAAATAATTCCAAACAATTTTTTATTAGATTTTAAAAATTTGTACAACTAATCCCAGAGTTAACGGCCCCTCGCTTTTTGTGTTTGCAAGCGGAAATCGTAATTCTACCCAGTGGATATTTAGTTTATTTTTTGGAAAATTCTCGGTTATTATTTCGCCGCTCCATTGGGACAGTGGCGTTGGTAATAAATGGGTTCCATTTTCTAGCGCGAGCTTTTGTTAGTCTTTTTTAACGTCGTGCTTTGTTTTGAATATAATAGTTTAATAAAATTTTAAGGTTTAATGAGGTAATTTGAGTGGTGACTAAAATAAGTAGGGATTTGAGTTTCGAAATATTATCCTTGGCTACAATAAAAGACGTCATGTACCTTGAATGCAGATTATTTGAGAGAAGTGGCGTATTTTGCGTCAATAAACGGACGGTACGCAAGGCATTCATTTGGATTACCGCTAATAAAAACAAATGTTTAAGTATTAGATTAAAGGTTTAAATAAAGACTTCTTTTTTGTAATGGGCGGGGGTATTAATGAAGACGTATTGGAAAATTTATTGCCAAGCCAACTAAAAATATATATTATAATTAAAATGAGAGATTTTTATTAAGCGTTTACATTTGCGCCGGCGGATTGTTCCTTTTTTATTAATTTAAAGATAATTTTGCATTCGACCGTTTCACTTTATATTAATAGCCTCACTAACACAGCTCAAGCGTCAAATAATTGGATTGCTTAAACAAAAACACGTTTCATCACCAATTGACGCTAAAACGCGCGGTAAAGCCTAACATTTTTATTTCATTTTAATAAAGTTTTTTCAAAACATAATCACGCCAAAACGTTATATATCTGCAATTTCACTTCAAATCAAAATTTTTCCTTCAAAATAAAACAGAAATGGCTTTATTTAACTTTTCACATACTCATGGGACATTTACCTCTACATTAATCCTAAAGCGACACTAAAACTTCACAGTATATTTTATAAAATATTCATCAAAAATAAAAATTTTGTCGAAAGTTTGGATAGTGTATCATGAAAACGGTTAATTATTCGGCAATTGTAACTGACTGGTATGTAGTGTTGTAGTTGGCGATTGATTAAAATAGTTTAGTTTGTTCGACAATCTGTTGGTTGTTTAAGTGATGTTATAGGGAAGCAAAGTAGTAAAGTCTGTTTTCTGTGAAATATTTTTATTTTGCTTTTGAGCTTTATAATGCAAGCTGGCATGCACATAGCTGTGCGTTGGGCATTAAACGACAAGAGAAAACGTACAACAAATATGTAAATGCAAATTCTATTAGCTATTTAGAAGCAAAGAACCGTCTTTTATTTGGACGTGCATTTGCACGAGCAGGTTTTTTATGGTACAAAGCTCAGAACTTGGACAAATGTAACATAAAAATCTTTAATTTAGTAAATTGATAATCAGATCGAAATTCGGTCTGCCGCATTTCTGCGTTAATAAATATTAACATTAACACCAATCATTCTTTATCCGCGTTGTGCTTGTTGGAAACTGACGTTCGTGATATACAGTCTTCTTGTATTAGAAGTTCGCTTTATTATTTATGTTTAGCTGTGATGTATGATTCTATATTTCTCAGAGAATATAAGTTAACATCTGTAGATCACCTGACGCGTTGCAAAAGCGATCCATGATATTGAATTCGGATAGCGTGAATAATACATACAATAATTGGATTTCAGAGGGGGTGGTGGCTAAGCTATATCAGAAATAATCTGAGCATACACGTACTCTCGTTCCGATTACATGATTCGTCACGTACACGGAATTAAAAATCGCCCCAAAAATATTAAATTTGCTTTAGCCGACAAGAATAGAATCGCTACAATATTCCATTCGATGAAAAAAAAACGCTTTTTTAACTCGCTAATGAAGGCCTGATAGATCGCCTTATTCTATTAACACCATCAATCAATAGGCGAGAATTTTTTTCCGATTTAAATTAACCGGACGACTTGAAAAATTCGCTTGGTATTGATTGGCCACTCTCAATTATGCAAACCAATTAGTGATCTCTTTTGTTTTGAAACTAGTTTGATCTAGTTTCAGAATTTATGGACCTATCAACCGAACAAAAAGTCAGAATCAAACTTTTTACAATTTTATGCAAATAACTTTGATTTTTATCGATGACACGTTATCTCTCTTGCATGTTTCACTGACTACGGCGCGTAAAGTTCAGTTAGCACAGATGAAGAGTTTACAACATGGTTTGACCGTATATTACCTAGCAGGATAAGGTTTACGAGTTAAACTATGAGGAATATTATGATGTGTTCGCCAATGACAAACGACACTTTTAAAATACACAACTCGACTTTAATTACACCACGAAAATTACCTCACATTATTATTTTTATTAAATTTTATAGCTTTATCGCTAATTGAAAACTCCACATTCAAACACTAACGATTTACACAAAACAATTTTCGTTTTAATATTCCATCACATGAAACACGCGAACATTTTCATTACAAAAATTACACCTTTTTAACAGCCCAACATTAAAAAATCATTTTATGCCA